AAGGGTTGTGTGCCAGGATATGTCTTGGCAAGTCAACGCGCATCTATTTGCCACAGTTCCTACTCAACTGTAGAAGTACATTTGGTGTTGGCAAAAAAGCCTTTCCTGAGCCGTATTAAGGAGTGTAGCTCCCACAGAGCCTGAGAAATGGTAGTGTCATTCTGTTGGGGAAGAAAAAAAATAATAATATATTCCAATATTTAGGCAAGTCCCCTGATTTGGGTACGCTTATCTGACCCTGGCCCTCAGGAAATCTGGCACCGTTTTATCACAACTGCCTCAGGCTTATAGGAAGGCTTTAGTCTAGTTCTCATGGATGTTCCTGTCTTTACTAAACAAAACTATGCCTAGGCTAGGATTACGTTCCGTTGTCAGCCTGAAAAGCCATTTTCTATACAAAACAGCAAACTGCCACTTTTTTTTTTCTTTTTCAGCATTGTGTGACACAGCCGCTCTTTAAATGTAAAACTGCACAGTCAGTGAGTTCCTGAGTGGCAGGAGAGACTGGACTGGACTCCCTCAGGAAGTAGATTTCTTGCCCACACAGACCTAAAGAGTAGAGATTCCTCCCCAAATCTCTCCCCTCCTGAACCTCATTGTGTTTAAGCGCTAAGAGATTGTCGGTATCTATCTCACTTAGAGGAAATAATCAGTATAACATGTTAATTTGTGGGTTTGTATTCATGAAGGGTAGTTTGGTTTTTTTTTTTCCTATGTGTCATAAGCAATTGTAAACTCTTCCATGGAGACCCTGGAAAAATGTACTTGGAGTTTAGACTAAGTGGTTTAAAACAGAAGCCCAGCATTATTGTGTGTGATGCAACCCTCTCCCACATGCCTTGCAAGGACATTAAAATTGTTAGAACTCCACCAACCTGCACCCCCACTCCAGGAACTGTCTTATTTAAGCATAAATGGTGCCCCAGAATGGATGCTGGGGATGGAGTAGAGGGACCCATGTAACCACACTGGCACCACTGCTTCCCCCAGGGAGAAAGGGGTGGGAGATCAATAAAGTCTTGGTGGTTTTTTTTTTACTCATGGCAAATCCACATCAGTGTTGACATGGAGTGTTCACATTTTCAAACTACTGCCCTTCTGGTTGAGGAGTCCTCTATGAACCGAGTTAGCAGGTCTGCTAGGAAATAACAAGGATACCATGCATTTCAGCAGTGCTTTTCATCAGATCATTCCTACTTACTTTACAAACAGAGTTAAGGAAGCCTCACAACATCCCTGTGAGGTAGGTGGAAATTCTTACACCCATTTTACAGGTGGAAAGAGGAAAAAAAAAAAAAAAAAAAAAAAAAAAAAAAAAAAAAAACAAAACAGGCACGGAGAGGTAAAGTGATTATCACAGCAAGTCAGAAGCAGAGCTGGAAATAAATCTAAGATTATTATCCTAGGTCCACTGCTCTAGACACTAGAGAACACCAACTCCCACATGCTATTGTAAGCTAAGACACTACCTTTCTCTTCTACTTTCACCTCCTTTGGTGATTTTGACACTTGTATCTTATGCTCCTTGCAGAGAGCCACGTGATCCATTAGTAATTTATTTGCAGAGGGAGCCAAGGGAGGGGTACACACATCTTTAAATTATCCATGCATGGCTCTAATTGTCCAGTGACTTCCCCCTTTCCCAGAAGATAATTTTCCCTGTTCTTTACATGTATATCTAAGTTTTGCTTCATTATTTTTGTGAGTAGAATCATACACTGAATCCACAGCTCTGAGGCTGTTATACAACTTCACTTGGAATTTCTTGAATACATAATTAATTTTTTTTTTTCTCATTGAGAGGGAATAAAACACATTTATAAGTTATCACATCCAGAAATAGCAATAATCCTTTGCTCATCTGTAGGGCCTTCCATCCAAGGACCTCCCATTCTATTACTAACACAATATATCGAGCCTCACATGGTCTTTGTGAGGTAGAAAATGATTCCCAATTGTACAAGAAGGAAGAGTGACTTGCTGACAGTCCCACAGTGATTTCATTGCAGAGATGAGGCTGAATGCCAGAAGACCGGACTGGTAGTTCCCTGCTCAGTTTGCCGAGAAGCTCTGTCTTGATGCCGTGGCTCATACTTGGTGGCTACAGTTTCATTAGCAACCTGGCAGAGTACTTGAAAACTGGTGTGAAAAATAAATATATATATATATAAAATAATCAACAAGCAGTTGACTGGATGCAGGAGGAAAACGCTGGCTGGTTTCATTGTGCTGTGGTGACCAGGAGGAAGAAACGAGCTTTCCTGCAGCAGCTGTGAAAGAACTACAGAGTGTCCATTGAGTATGTTGCATATAGTGCATTTGACTGAGGTAACTCCAGGGAAAAAGAATGACATACTCAACATCCGATGAGTAAAGACTGGAACCGCCTGACAGCCATATTGTGAGCCATATACCTCTGATGAATAAGCACTCATCTTTAAGCAGTCCACTGATCTAGTGAAGGTATGCATGGCAGAGGTCAGGAACAGGGATGGTTATTAAAATACCTGGGATGTAAAAGGACTTGTCAAGTAATTAGAAGTAAACAAGGGTGGGATTGATTCATCCAAGTCCAGTACATTGCTATCTGGAAGGGTTAGATGCTCTGAAGAAGGCAGAAGATACCTCGTACCAAACCTTTACAAAGGTTTTGTTTTTCACCTAGAGGAAACTGTGTTTCCAACTCCCTTCAAGAAGCAGGCTGGTTTATGCTTAGAACCATTAAAACTATATATATATTTTTTTTTGGTGAAGAAAATAAAAACTAATAGATCCCATCTGGTATAAGTGAGGTGATTTTGCTGTTCATCTAAATCTTTGCCCTTGCTTGAATTCTAGTATTTTGAATTGGGCACAGCGGACTTTTTTCATGCTGAAAAAAAAACCCATTCTCTTTCCTCAGTTGCCTTTCCTTTGTGTTAACTGTTCTCCTGTTTCTGTATTAAAAGAGTGGATAAATGGTAGCCTCCAGATTCTCTCTCTGCATCTTCCTTCCCATATATTCCTCTGTCATATTCCTTCCCAAAACTGAGGATGTACCTTCCAATCTTCCTTTACGAGGAAGGAAAACATAACAGCCTTTGTCCAAGAAGCAAAGATTTTTTTGACCTCAGGCTGCAAACCTTGGGGAAAAATACACAGGCCCAAGAGGAGCAAAAGGATTAATAGCATTAAAAATAATAATAATAATTAAAAATAAAATAAATATGACATGGCACCTCAATGGTGCTGAAGAATCCCAATGCACCCTACAAACTTTCTACATATGTACAGCTTTGCTTCACTGGGCAGTGAAGTCCAGCCACCTTTGCGCTCGTATAGGGGCAGCTGCATAACAAGGCACGGGAACTCCACCAAACAGGTTAGATCAGCCAGTGCCAGAACCCACTTGTACTGGTGGCTGCCTGGGCTGGGACACTGGGCAGCAGGACTGGAGGTGTGAGCCTAAAGCCTACCCCAGAGCTCTCTCAGGCGTTCATTTGAGTTTAATGCGCTGGGAGTCAGCCCTGGCACAATAGGAGACCGCAGGAGGTCTTTTCTAGCTAATGGCGGGGGGGGGTTTTTGCATTATGTCCAA